TTTCATTTGCTAGCTTATTCCCCAAATGCCTATAACAGCAAGGTTGTGCCTGAATACAGGAACTCTATCCAGGTCTTCCGTAGAAGTGGCAGCGGTCTGAGCCATCACTATTGCCTCCCAGGGTCTGCATTAGCAGAAGTGCTAACGAGGGAATACAGAGAACCCAGCAGGGGCCTTGACCGACAGCGCACAGGAGCCAGTGCAGACATGTGCTACGGCCTCGCTACATCCTCTGAACATTCACACGCTGGAAACTCAATGCCCACATTCATGTGCTGAAAGTATTTGGAACCCTTGGAAAACGATTGGGATTAGAAATCATGAGGGTGGAATCCCCATGATGGCATTGGTCACTTTATAAGAGAAGGATGAGAGGGGCAGTGTTAGGGGATAGCAAGTTGAATCACTGCCTATCTGACACTGCCAACCTGTGAGTACTGGTTAGAGTTCCCGCTGCTCTACTTCTGATCCAGCTTCCTGCTCATGATCAGAGTGGCCCAGCAGATGGAAGATCTGATCCTCTGCCTTTCAAGCAAATAAACAAGTCTTGAGACAAACGAACAAAAGCATACTTACTCTGCCTTGCCTTGTGATGCATGCAGTCATGTCATAATGCACTATATATATATTTAAAATGCATATATATATATATAATATGTACACACACACACACACACACACACACACACACGGCAGGAAGAGCAGGAAGGCTGGGCTCAGGAGTTACAGCCAGGACGCAGAACCAGGGACCCCTGTGGGTCACACCTGTGCCTTAACCACTAGCCGGAATACCGACTCCTCTCGGCAATTCTTCATACGATGCAGAATGCATTACTGAGAACGACAGTCCCATGGGACTGCACAACAAACTTTTTGGTGCTCTCCATGAACTTTTTGTAGTACCCTTGTATTTTCTAAAGGGATTCAGTTCTCCAGAGCTAACGGAATTACATTGCTCTGAAGAGAAAGGGGAACTTGTGATCTGGTCTAGAAGCATTTCAGTGTGATGTTTCAGTTACATTGCAAACTCGGGGTGACTAATTCTCCATCTGGGGTTCCCTGTGGCACTGATGGCTACTGTGGCATGGACTCAGAGGCCACAAAGCCCCTCTCAGCACTGCTGCCCAGACTGCCCACGTGCAGCACCTTGTGCAATGCCTGCAGCCCTGTCCGGCATGCTTCTCTCAACATGGGATTTTTTAAATGAACAGAGCTGCTGGGGGGCCCAGCACACAGTGGGTATAAAAACCCATCCTGACTTGTCTGTCATCAGTGCTTAGGGCCTCCTTGGGCAGCAGTGTTTCACATCCAACTAAAACCTCTGAATGTGAGCCTATTTGGAAACAAGGTCTCTGCTGATGTAATATATTAAGATGAGGTCTTATTGGGTTAGGGCTGGTGTGATGTCCAATGACTGAGTCCTTCTAAGAAAGTCAAGTGGTGAGGCTAGCACTGTAGTATGCACATTAAGCTGCTGCTTGCAGTGCCAGCATCCCATATGGGCAATGCTTCTAGCTATGGTTCCTCCCCACAACGGAGAAATGTCTTGGAAAGCGGCAGAGGATGGCCCAAGTATTTGTGTTGCTACTCTAAAGTGGGAGACCAGGATGAAGATCGTGGCTCCTGGCTTTGGCCCGGCACAGTCCTGGCCATTGTGGCCAGTTGAGGGTGTGAACCAGCAGATGGAAAATCTTTTTCTCTGTATTTAACTTTGCCTAGCACATAGATAAATTGGAGTAATCACTGTGACATAGTGGGTTAGGCTGCCACCCAAGTGCCAGCATCCAATGTGGGCACCAATTCAAGTCCCAGCTGCTCTATTTCTGATCCATTTCTCTGTGCTGATACACTGGGGAAGGTAGCAGAGAACAGCTCAGGTGCTTGGGCCGCTGCACCCATGTGGGAGACCAGAGGAAGTTCCAGAATCCTGGCTTTGGCCTAGCATAGCCCTGGCAATTGTGGCCATCTGGGGAGTTAATCAGTAGGTCGGGGAGCTCACCCTGTGTTTCTCTTTGTATCTTCACCTCTCCAAAATAAATAAATAAATCTTTAACAGACTAAAACAGTCAGGTGCAGAGTGCCAGGAATCAGCAGCAGCCAGAAGGAGCCGTGGTTAAGATCCACCTGCATTGTACAAGCAGATGGATTTCTCTCCCCCAGAATTGTGAGAGAATCGACTTTTGTTGTGTAAATGATCCCACCTGTGGCTGTTAGAGTAGCCCTCTAATTCACATAGAGCCTCAGAATTGGTTTCTAGGAATCTGGTGTGAACCCTGGAGATTACACTGATCTTGAAAATGCTGCCCCAGGGCATGGCCATAGCAGCCCAGTGGGTTAAGGTAGTTATTGGGACGGCTGGATAGCACAGCAGAGTGGATGGCAGCCTAACCTAAGTTTCCAATGCTGTTTCCTGCTAGCGTGTACCCCAGGGGAGCAGCAGACAGTGGCTCAATCCCTGGGTCAGTACCACTCATATGGAAGACCTGGATGCAGCTCCTGGCTCCTGGCTTTAGCCTAGCTCAGCCTTAGCTATTGGAGGCACGTGCGAGATCTTCCATAGGCTTGCGTACTCCTTAATTTGCCACAATGGCCAGGGCTGGGCCAGTTAGAAGCTGGGAGCCAGAAGCTTCCTCCAGATCTCCCATGTGGGTGCAGGGGTCCGAGGCCTTGGGCCATTCTCCACTGCTTTCCCAAGCCATAAGCAGGAGCTGGTTTAAAATTGGAGGAGCAAGGACTTGAACTGGTCCCCATATGGGATGCCGGCACCACAGGCAGAGGAATAGCTTGCTATGCCATAACACCAGCTCCAAGAACCTTTATTTATTTATTTATTTATTTATTTATTATTATAAATAAATATTGATCTTGTTTATTTGAAAGGCAGAGTGCCAGAGATGGGAATAGTGGAAGGGATATCCTCCATCTGTCGTTTCACTCCCTAAACACCTGCAACAGCCAGGATTGGGCATGTAAAAACCAGTAGCCAGGAATTCACATGGGTACAAGAGACCTAAGTAGTTGGGCCTGCACCTGCTGTCCCCAGACCCATTAGCAGGAGGCTGGATCTGAGGTGGACTGGCAGGGCTGGAACTGACCTGTGTGTGGGGTGTGGCATTCCAAGTGTCAGCTAACCCACAGCACCACCACACCAGAGCCATAGTACTTTCAAGCTACTCTGGATCAATTTCCCAAGCCACCCATCAACACTTGCTGTTGCTAGGAACACTGAATGGTGCAATCATTAGGGAGCGCAATCTAGCAGCAAGCCAGATAAGCTTTTCAACAATACATCACACCCGTTGCCCAGTAATTTGTCTTCCTTAGAAAAGGATTAAGGTGGTGGGCACTGTGGCATGGTTAGCTAAGTGTTTGGAATGCTTGGCTGGAGGCCTGGAGATTCACCCTTGGTGATCCACGTGCTGCTCCCTGGCAAGCAGCAGAGAATGGCTCAAGTACTTGGGACCCTGCAAGCCAGGTGGGAAGCCCCCATGGATTTGTGGGCTCAGAGTATCAGGCTGGACCTGGCCAGGCTGTGCTGGGCATTTGGGCAATGAACCAATAAATGGAAGACAGCACTTTTTCCTCCCTTCATATGTGCTGCTCCACTTTCCATCCAGCTCCCTGTTTACAGCCTGGGGAAGCAGCAGAGGATGGCCAACTCCTCGGGTCTCTGCCACCCTCATGGGAAACCTGGGAGATGTTCCTGTCCTGGCTTTGGACCAGCCCAGCTCTTAGCTGTTGTGGCCATTTGAGGATTGAACCAGCAAATGGAAACTTTGTACCTCCCTTCAAACTCTGCTTTCCAAATAAGTAAAATAGATCTTTTTTTAAAAAAGAAAATTTGGAAGTCAGTACTGCCACAGCGGGTAAAACTACTGCCTGTGGTGCCAGCATCCCAAAGGAGCACCAGCTCTGAGTCCTGGAATCTCCATTTCCAACCCAGCACAGGGGAGGCCGTGGAGGAAGTTTCAACTGCGCCTGCACCCTTCGTGGGAGAAGCTTCTGGTACCTGTATCAGCCTCTTGGGGAGTGAACCAGCAGTTGGAACACCTCTCTGTAACTGCCTTTCAAGCAAACCAGCAAATACACACTGGAAAAAAAAAAAAGGCTACTTAGATGACATATTAAAAAAAAAAAAAATCATCAGAAGACTAGACAAGGAGCAGCCGGCACTGCTTAGCCTACATTCAGATGCCCACACTGGGTGGGAATTACTGATGCAATTACCATAGCGCTAAGGCAATGCCCCCTTGCGGCCCCGCAGCAGGTGCCTCTCAGCCCAGGTGGCACCGCAGGTACCCGGGGAACGGGTTACTTGTGAGCACCGGGTCAGAATCCCTCGGGAGTGGGTTCAGGCCTTGGTGTCTTCTAGCGGCTTGGCCCAGGCTCCCGAGTAAAAAGAGACGAGAGCAAAGTAAAGCAGGGGCGCAGCACGCGATGGCGTCCACCCTGGCAACATTTCCTCCAAGTCTACACACAAACTCTGGGACACGATCCCGTGCATGCTTGAAGAGGTGAAACCTCAACTTCGGCTAGCGTGTCAGTTCATGTGAGCGGGCGAAGAGGCCCGTTTCCAAACAATGAGGTACCTCCCCCATTTCCTGGGGCAGTCTTGGTGCCACGTACTGCCCGGAGGGGAGGGGGGTCCCGGGGAACATTCTCCCGCCACACTGCGGAAGGAGAACATTCTCCACAGCCGCCCCGGGAGCGGGGAACATTCCCCCGCAGCCCGCCCGGGAGTAGGGAGCATTCCCCTCCGCAGCCCGCCCGGGAGTAGGGAGCATTCCCCTCCGCAGCCCGCCCGGGAGCGGGGAACATTCCCCCGCCACACCGCGGACGGAGAACATTCTCCGCAGCCCGGCCCGAACCGGCCCGCCAGCTCCCGCCTCTCAGCAGGCCTCACCCCCGCTTCCGGAGGCGGCGTCCCGTCCACCCCGCCCCTCGGCCGGGCTCCCTCATCCCCCTCGGCGGTGCTTGGCGTCCTCCTCCTCCTCCTCGGCCGTCAGAGTTTCCGGGCGTGTTGGCGTGCGACGCTGTCGTGCCGACGGCCCGCTTTACGGCCGCGAGCACGGAGCGAGCCGGCGCCGGGGCCGCTCGGGCCGGCAAGCAGGGCGGGCGAGGGAAGTGGATGCCCGGCGGCGGCGGGGCGAGCGCGGCGTCTGGCCGGCTCCTCACCGCCGCTGAGCAGAGAGGGGCCCGCGAGGCGGCGGGGTCGGCGGCCCGCGGCGGCCCGGGGAGCTCCGGCGTCTGTCGAGGCCTCGGCTCGGGCGGCCCCGGTCCGGGCGGCCCGGGCGGCCCGGCGGGCAGGATGAGCCTGACGCCCAAGGAGCTGTCGAGCCTGCTGAGCATCATCTCGGAGGAGGCGGGCGGCGGCAGCACGTTCGAGGGCTTGTCCACCGCCTTCCACCACTACTTCAGCAAGGCCGACCACTTCCGTCTGGGCTCGGTGCTGGTGATGCTGCTGCAGCAGCCCGACCTGCTGCCCAGCGCGGCGCAGCGGCTCACGGCGCTCTACCTGCTCTGGGAGATGTACCGCACCGAGCCGCTCGCCGCCAACCCCTTCGCCGCCAGCTTCGCGCATCTGCTCAACCCCGCGCCGCCCGCCCGCGGCGGCCAGGAGCCCGACCGCCCGCCGCTCTCAGGTACCGGCCCGGGGATGGCGAGGGGCCTGCTGCAGCTCGCGTCCCTCCCCCGGGGCTCAGGCCAGGGCCCGCCGCGAGGCTGGGTCGGCGTGCCAGCCTCTAGTCCGTAACTGCAAGTCGGTGTGCAGCTGGTGGCTGGAAATGCACGCGAGACGAGCCTTGAAGGACTCAGGCAGTCGCCTCCCTCGGTTGGTTAGGTGCCCCTGGATTCTGGGCTGGGAGCGCAGTGAACGGTCTCGGTTTTGTTGAGATCAGATGCGTGCCGGTGGAGTAGATGGCGAGGAGGCGGTTTTTTTTTTTTTTTTTTTTTTTAAGCTCAAGCGAGAGGTTTCTGTGAGTTTGCCCTGGCACAGAGAGGGTGAGCATGAATAATAACAGGACTTAACTGGGAGCAGCGTAGTACTGGAGGCAGGTGTTTGGGGCCGGTGAATATCTTGGTCTCTTAGTCCCTCGCTGGATTGTTTCAATACCCAAGAGGGTGCCTGTGGATCCCAAGTCTTGGTTAACTGCACTGCCTTTACCCTAACAAGGCAGCTGTGTTGTCCAGGGCGGATGCCCTTGAGATCCTGGTACTTAGGCCCCCCTGTGGACAGCAGGCTTCAAATTCAGGAACCCTGATACGGGATATGGGTACTGCAGCCTACTGCATGCTGAGCGCCTGCCTCTTGGTGGGTGTGATTTTAAATGGAAGAATCAGGCTTGAGAGAAGGGGTTTGCAAAGTAAGCTACATATTAGATTCCAGAGCCTGCAGCCTGGTGGGGGCACAGGACCAGCAGCGTGGGGAGGGCTTGTTCTCCGCCAGGGGCCTGTGGAGCCACGGAGATTCTTAGGGTATGCTGTGCATGCTGAATGCGAACCAGGGGTTGGGGTGCCGGGGAGCGGTGGCGCTAAGGACTGGGGCCCTCAGAGAAGCTGGGTGCCTTGTGCCTGGATGGGAGGGCCCAGGAGGGTGTGCAGCCTCGTCTCTGGGGCTTCCTGCTCCAGCACAAAGCAGGTGGGGCAGGCCCAGAGGGCCGAGCTGTGAGCCAGTGGGGAAGGAGCTGAAGGAATGCTTTGTGAAAGTTGACCAGAGCCTGGCATAGGTGAGGTTGGTGAGCCAGTGGAGGTGGGACACAAGGGGAGGGATGTATAGTGGGTGGGCGTGTGCTAGCTGTACTGCGCGTTGAAGCCAGGTGTGCACAGGCGTGATTGCGTTGTTATTCATTGCTTCTTGTGTCAGAAGAGGCGTAAACGCATTCAGAGTGCTGTAGTAGTATGCTGGTTCTGCCTTGTTTGAAACATGTGAGACAATGAAATTCTTAATAGTTAACAGGACCCTTGGCTGACTGTCACAGGTCATAGAATTTTTTCAGTGACATTTAATCACACAGGTCGTCAGTGTATTTCAATTTGGCTAGTTGAAACTGGTGACTTGTTCTTTAGAAATCTGAAAGTTTGAGTTAATACTAATTGTATTAGATGCACGTGAATTTCTGAAAGTAGCCACTGGAAAAAGTGTCCTATATTTCTGTTGACAGGATTTTTACCTCCCATAACTCCACCAGAAAAGTTCTTCCTCTCCCAGCTGATGCTGGCACCACCCAGGGAACTCTTCAAGAAGACCCCTCGGCAGATTGCCCTGATGGACGTCGGCAACATGGGCCAGTCCGTGGACATCAGCGGCCTTCAGCTGGCCCTGGCTGGTAGGGGAAGCGGCCAGCTGGGCCTCTTTTCTGGTTACTTTCATGGAAAGAAGTAGTTCAGGTGCTGGATGCTATAGGGCGTATAAGTTCATTTTTGAGTTTTCACTTCTAGTTTTAGAGGATAATACAGGCTAAAGTTTCGTTTTTATAAGAGTGCTGTGATTGAAGATTGACTATTGATAAGGTGTCAGTATTACTCAAAACGTCTACAGATCGAGTGACATTCCAATTAAAATACTAGCAGCATTTGTGTAGAAACAGAAAAATTTGAAGGAATTTCTAAAGCTGGCTCATTCCTCCCAAAAAAAAAAAAAAAATTGAACGGCAGTTTTTCTTGAGGCACGTGTTTGTTTTTAAAGATCTATTTATTTTTATTGCTAAGGCAGATTGATAGAACAGGTAGAAAGATCTTCCATCTGCTAGTTCACTGCCCAAATGACTGCAATGGCCAGATCTGAGCCAATCTGAAACCACAAGCCAGGAGCCTCTTCCAGGTCTCCCGTTGCAGGTGCAGGGTCCCAAGGCTTTGGGCCGTCCTTCGCTGCTTTCTCAGGCTACAAGCAGGGAGCTGGAGGGCAAGTGGAGCAGCCAGGATACAAACTGGCACCTATAAGGGATCCTGGTGCTTGTAGGGCAAGGATTTAGAGACTGAGACATTGTGCTGGGCCCAGAGGCATGCTTAAGGGGTTACAACGAGGTGAACCTGAAGCACTGGCATCCCAGGTTAAGAATGGAAAGTCTTCAGGGCCTAGAGGCTCCAGTGATCTCCCGACACTGTGCCTGGCTGCTCCCTGTCCCCGTCACTGACCTGACTGTGATAATCACTCTGGGTTCGATTGATCACCTTCCCTCCTGACCAGGCCTGTGTTCCACTTTAGGTATCATATGCATGTTGACTCTTTCAGCCCTTCCTTCTACTGAGGAGTGTTTGAGCTAGGAATCTGTTGACTCTTCATTGTTGAAGTATTTTTATGCAATAGTATACGGATTCTATTAGCATGCTGTTGTTGAAGGATGTAATATAGCTGGAGCATTCCAGGAGACACCCATTTTCTTCTAGTTGGGGTAATACGCATGAGCCAACTGTACTATTCCATCTTTTTGCTATAATAACAAAATCCATGATACGTCTTACAAAGGAAGCAAAGTTCAGCTAGCTCATGGTTTTGAAAGCTCACTGCACACGCGTGGCACAGGGTCTAATGAAGACCACCCAGTGGAAGGTGGGGTAATGTAGAAGATCACATTTTTTTTTTAAAGATTCATTTCTCTTTAGTGGAAGGGCAGATTCACAGTGAGGAAATAGAGAAAGATCTTCCATCGCTGGTTCACTCTCTAAGTGGCCACAACAGCCAGAGCTGAGCTGATCTGAAGCCAGCATCCAAGAGCTTCCTCCAAGTCTGCCATGTGGATGCAGAGTCCCAAGGCTTTGGGCTGTCCTTTGCTACTTTCCCAGGCCACAAGCAGAGAGCGGGATAAGATGTAGAGAGCTGGGGCATGAACTGGCATCCTTAGGGGATCCCGGTGCATGCAAGGCAAGGATTTAGCCACTAGACCATTGTGCCAGGCCTGTGGCTCACATTTTGAGTGGAAAGCCAGGGAGGGCAGGAAGAGCTGGGCCTGCTGCTTTGATAATAACCCTGCCTACAGGGTGCTGGGGGTTAGGATCCCACATCTCCAGTGACCCAAGCACCTGCTTAGAGGTCCTGGGGACTAAGATTCTCACACCTTGGTGGGGGTACCAAATCCAGACTACAGTACATGGTAATGTCACGTTGTTTCCCAAAGTTTTGCTGTGCCATTTTTTCACTCCCAGTAGTGGCTAGTATATCTTCTACATTTGCTGAATTCTTGTAAGCTTGGGTCAGTCTGGAGGGATTATGTAGTATGGTGGACCTTAATGGAATTGTCCTTGGTTTTTAAATGGATTAAATGTCATCAAATGTATGTTAGCCACTTAAGTTTCCTTGTAAAATAGCTATTAATTTGTTTTCTGTGTCTTTTTTTCTTTCTTCACGTTGTCCTCAGTTTTAAAACTTGTCTTTTAACCCGTTGCAGAACGTCAGTCTGAACTGCCGACGCAGAGCAAAGCCAGCTTCCCTAGCATTCTCAGTGACCCAGACCCGGATTCCTCCAATTCTGGATTTGACAGCTCAGTTGCCTCGCAGATCACGGAAGCTTTAGTCAGTGGGCCGAAACCCCCGATCGAAAGTAGGTGCACACATATATTCATTCCCTGTTCCATCAGCACTAAGACCTTGCTTTTTGAGGTGCCTTGTACTCAGCTGCTACTGGAACTGGAATTTAACAGGAGAGTCCCTGAGCATAGTGTCTGTAACAGTAGCAATAGAAATGCTCAATGAAAGTTCGCTGCTGCTTTAAAAAATTATACCTGTTATTATTTATCCATCATGAAGACGCTTGAAGATTTAAATTCTGTCAGACTCTGATGAGTCTTTGTAGATTTTAAAAATATATATATATTTATTTGTTTTTACTGGAAAGTCAAATTTACAGAGAGAAGGATCAACAGAAAGAAATAACTTCATCTGCTGGTTCATTCCCCAAGTGGCTGCAACCAGAGCTGAGCTGATCTGAAGCCAGGAGTCAGGAGCTTCCTCCAGGTCCTAAGGCTTTGAGCCGTCCTCTGCTGCTTTCTCAGGCTACAAGCAGGCAGCTGATGGAAAGTGGAGCAGCCAGGATATGAACCGGCCACCTGTATGGGATCCTGGTACATGCAAGGCGAGCATTTAGCCACTAGGCTACTGTGCCAGCCCTTGTGGCTTAATTTTAAATTTTGTATTTTTTTTAGTAATCTTCTCACTGTTATATCCAACTCCACTTTAAAACTTGATTGATCTTACAACTCTTCATTTAATTCAGAGAAAGCACCCTGAGTTGAAGTGTGGCTGCGTCTTTTGGTTTCAAGGGTTCTGTGGTCTGAAGAAGACAGTGCTTTCTGTGGAGGCTATAAGAACTTGCTGTCCACGTGTTCATGCTCCATGGATTTGAAATTCATGCTGTGGTTTTTTTATATCATGACATTAGGTCTTTCATAAGTGGTTTAATAGTTGGCAAGTGCATTTGAAGGAATTGTTTACTGAGGTGGGGAACCTTTTTTTCTGTCCAGGGTTGTGTGGGTATTTATAACATCATTTGTGAGCTATGGCCTCCTATAGATGTATTGAATTTTTTTTTTTTATTCATTCTTCAGGATTTATCCCAAATGTCCTTTCATTCATTGATTTACTTAATCTATATCTGACAAATATTGTCTTACATGTCAAGCACATGGAATTTTTAAAAATAATACTGTTTACTCATTCTGTTTATATAAGGTGATCAAATTTCGTGTGTTTTACAACATAGATTCAGGAACAGTGACACACTCCCCTCTACCCTCCCTGCTATGTGCATTCCCCACCCATCCTCCTCCTCCCTTATCTGATGTATTGAATTTGAAGTCCTGTCTGTGGTTGTTTTGGCAGGCCCACGTGGGCATGAGATAGCAGGTGGGACACCTCCCAGGTAGCGGGTAGGCTAGACAACCCTGATTTAATACGCTGCTAGGCACAGCTTTGAAGTGCACGGCCCCCAGGAAGATGTGAGCGGCACACTATTGATGGTGACTGACTTTGGCCCTACAGCAGGCATCGCTGCCACCTTGGTGCTGCTGCCACCTCGGTGCTGCTGCCACCTCGGCGCTGCTTCCCGTGAAGTGTTCAGAACTGTGGCTGTGTCCCTGAGGGACACAGCCATGCCAGAGTCTATTCTCAAACATGGTGGCTCTGATGAGCTAGCAGGGTGGGATTGATACTGATTGGGAAGTCTTGGCCAGCACCTGTTTTAGTGGACTTACTACTTAGAGATCAATCTTACAAAACAGTTTAAGGATTCAGTTTCTTCATTTTAGTGTTGTGCTTTTACTGTTTTTCATGAATTCCTAAATTCACAAGTACCCTGTTCAGTTTCACAAATCTCACCCGAAAATGTCCAAACTCAACTACGCTTTGGTATATCATTGAATCTCCACCCATAGTGCTTGCTTCAGCAGCACATATATGAATCTTCCTCATCAGTTTTCCCTGTAAAGTTTTCAGATGTGAGGGAAAAACCAGTACAATTCCTGGTCATCTTTACACAAAACAATAGTAACTTAAAGAGTAAGTGAGGACAAGTCATATTTCCTTTCCCATCAAAAAACTTACCTGTGATGTCAGTGTTTCATTCTGAATTGCAATGAGAGAATGTAAAAACAAGTTCTTTATGTTTGGAGAGCATGGCCATGTTCTGACAGCTTTTAATGCAAGTGGATCCCAGGGCTTGGCAGTAAAGAGCCCAAATGCCACTCTGCTTACAGGCCACTTCCGGCCGGAGTTTATTCGCCCGCCGCCTCCACTGCACATCTGTGAGGATGAACTGGCCTGGCTCAACCCCACGGAGCCAGACCACACGGTTCAGTGGGATAAGTCCATGTGCGTGAAGAACAGCACCGGTGTGGAGATCAAGCGGGTCATGGCCAAAGCCTTCAAAAGTCCCTTGTCTTCCGCCCAACAGACACAGGTATGTTTACTGCAAATGTCTTGTGTGCGCCACCCTGAATCCACTGTTTTTCATAAAGGGATGAATGAGCGGCTGCCATCCGGGTGAGGTAGCAATAGGGCAAGGGAAAGGTTCCCTTGGCCCCTGAATCTTCGTGCAGTGTGTTTCCCTTTGAACATTCTGCTCTGATGAAATGGGCATTAAATCTGGCAAGCACTAAATATTTCACCTTTTGTTAACAATCAGTTTTGTTCTTTGCTAAGAGATCTAGAAGTTTTGCCTTCCTTTTTGGCATCCCACTGCTACCACATGCCAGCCAGGCCCCTTCCACACAAGGCTGTGGCGGGCGGACAGCCTGCCGGGGCTGAGTGCCATTACCATCTTACAGGGACAGTGGGGGCAGGGAGGATGAGCTAGCTGCATCCTGTAGAGCTCGTGGAGGAGCTGAAGCTAAAGACAGCCCTGGCTGTGAGTGGGAGCATGCTACTGCAGGTGGCATCTCTGCCAGGCTCATCGCCAAGTGTTATTTTCAGAATCAGGTAATGAACAGCGGTTTGTTCACTTGTGGTCCAGTGTGGAATGGAGAGGTAGGCTGGCAAAGAAACACAGCAAGTTTTAAAGACGATGCACTTTTTTGGTGGGAAGGAAAGTTTGAACGAGAGTGTGGGTGTTGTGTCTGGGCCTGGTTGCCTCTTTGCCCAGCCTCGAGGGTGGGCTGGCACTGTGCTTGCTGATGTCAGTCCTCTGGTGTCAGCGCTTCTGGGGAGAACTAACTAGTAATTAAGATTAGTTTTGGTAATAGCAGATGACAAACATTTAAAAATCTTTGAGTTTAAAAAATATGGTTACAAGCATTCAATATTGAACCTGGTTCATGTCCTCTGGGGTGGAGGGAGGGCAACCATTGGGAGATTCAGTATCACATTTCACATAGAAATTTGAAATATGCAACTTGAGTATCATGGATTTGAGGGATGAGATTTGTATAATATAGATTTTTTTTATAGTTTTTTTGAGGGGGAGGATATAAAATGAAGTGTTTGCTTTTGTATGCAGGGAAGAATTGTCAAGTTTGACTCAAGTTCTCTTAAAATTTGGTTTTGTTTAGCTCCTTGGTGAATTGGAGAAAGACCCCAAACTGGTTTATCATATTGGCCTCACTCCAGCCAAGCTTCCTGACCTAGTGGAAAACAACCCTTTAGTGGCCATAGAAATGCTGCTGAAACTGATGCAGTCCAGCCAGATCACCGAGTATTTCTCTGTCCTTGTCAACATGGACATGTCCCTACACTCGATGGAAGTTGTGAATCGGTAAGTTTCCATGTCTGATGCAACATGTGAGGACATGCAGACCCAGATGGAGTAGGAGTGACTCTGCTTTCAGCCCAAAATAACCCTCTGAGGAAATGGTCTTGGTTGGAGCGTTCCCCTGCATGTGAATTTAGCATTCACTGGGAAGAGCTCAGGGCAGAATTTCAAACACATTTCATGTTACTAGAAATTTAAAGAAGACTTAACTGCTGAAATCTCCCCAAGCATAGTTGTATCTGGATTATTCCTGCACGGTGACAGATAATTTAGTTCTTAAGGACTGACAGCTAAATCATGGGCTAGGGTAAGAGACTTCCGAGGGAAACAACGCTGACATACTCTGCAGTTTCCACATTTTATATTACTTTCTTTACAAATTATTTTAAGCAACTGTTTAGTTAGATGGGCTGGAAGGATTAGTTTGGGAGCTTGTAGGATGGCCATGGGTCAAGGTCTGCCCCATAGTCCTGATTTGGGTCTTGTGTTCACCCTGTTTTGAGTGAATTTTATGGTACTTGTATTATATGGGGAAATGAGTGCCAGGCAGCCAAACTTGTGTTCAAATCCTGGGACTCACTTCTCATCCACTAGCAGCAGTTGTCTTACACTGACTCTTAACCCAAGAATAACTATTACCTTGTGTTAGTTTGAGCCTGTCTTCTCCCTCTTATCTTGGAATTTCAAGGACAGGCCCTGTTTTTTGTTTCCCCTATTACATATCATAATTAGTCCTAAGGGTGAAACAAACCTCAGGTGGCTGCAGTAACTCACTGCAGTGTTTCCCTGGCACCCCAGTTCCTTAGTGCCTCATGAAGATAACCCTGAAAAAGGCAATATATGTTATCTGGGGAATGCGTTCTTTGTTGTTAGCCTAGCAGCTTTGCAGTACCAGGCCTATTTAATGTGAGCCAGTCTGTCCAAACTGAACTGGCAAAGAAATGTTACCCCGACATATTTAATCCTTTGCTTAAAACATTCCATGTAGTCCTTTGAAAAATACGGACCTTGGCTTTCAAGACACTAAACTTGAATTCTTTAACATCCCAGCCACTTTTCTGCTGTGTTCCTGAATATGCCGTGCTTATGACCAAATCTGAACCTTTATGCCAGACTTCCCTGGTTGCCAGGATTGCCCCTTCCTCCTTAGGTTCCAGTCAGGTGTCCTTCCATGACTTTGCCCAAAAAGGTCCGTTGGTGTTTGGGTCTATGTTGTACTGCTAACACCGTGGGTTTATGGTTTCTCTGACACAGTGCCTCTTACAGCACTGACTTAAATGACTGGAACTGGGGAGGTAACGGACCTTGACACCTGACTCAGTCAAGAATCCCGAGGGACATGATGCTCAAAACAAGAGTGCTGTATTACATACAGACTAGAGGGGTCCCAGTGAACGAGTGAGGGCTGCTGTTAGGTTACCCTATACTTAGATGAATGAACCTAAGAAATTAGGTTATCTGTCACAGGATCATTAACTGGCCAAAGGAAGTTTGGTTTAACTGGAATAAACTGTTTTCTCTTATGAAACAGACTGACTACAGCTGTTGATCTACCTCCAGAATTCATTCACCTTTATATATCTAACTGCATCTCTACTTGTGAACAAATCAAGGATAAGTACATGCAGGTGGGTAATAGAAACTTCTGTCCATTTCCTAAGTACCTGCTAGGAAATTGGTCACACTGAAACTTTTTTCTTTTCCAGAACCGTTTGGTCCGTCTGGTGTGCGTCTTTCTCCAGTCCTTGATCCGTAACAAAATTATTAACGTGCAGGACTTGTTCATAGAAGTGCAGGCATTCTGTATTGAATTCAGTAGGATACGGGAAGCTGCTGGCCTTTTCCGGTTGCTGAAAACACTGGATACTGGGGAAGCGCCATCGGAGACCAAAATGTCTAAGTGATACCTCAGCCAAGCCACCCCATTCGTCGTCACCGCCTTGCTTAGAAGCATTGGCCGCATGCATCCAGACAACATTCTGTCTACTTCAACCACGTTTGGTTTTCCTGGATGACTTTTCCTGTAGGTGAATATTTGTAAGAACTTGGAAAAAATGTTTTTAAGAATCCTCCTGGCTATCCACAGGAAAAAGTTATCCATCTACCAAAGTTATTACAAAATAGATTTTTGTTTTGCACTGCAGAGTAAGTGCTTGTTTTGGCTTAGAAAGGCAAGCTGCAGACTTGATCGGGAGTCGTTTTCCTGAGGCGAATAGAAGTTTGCTTCTCGTACCTACCTACGCATGGGAGCTTTTCACTTCTCACTGAACACAAGCCGAACCAAGGACGTGCTTGTAGCTATCGCTTCATTATGGGGACCTAACAGACAACAGGACAAATGCATTTCTGGAGTCACACAAACACCTGGACTCTGACCCCCGTTTTTGGCCTGAAGCAGCCGGCAGTTCCCTATTGTTTTTCTTGAGATGTTCTCTTACTTGTAAGAAAGCCATTTTTGTTTGAAGGGCCAGTCACCACTAAGACCCACTGTACACTGAGTGGGATCTGTACCTTCCTAGCATAAACTGGGCTGTGTGATCTGAAAAGCCAGTGCAGGGGGGACTGTATGAGCTGTTATCCTTCATGTGACTGTGGACAACAGTGCCTTCCATTAAAGTTTTTTAAATCAGCTGTGTTTTCTGATGTGTTTTTTCCTCTAAGAATTCATGAAATACTCCTTTTACCAAGAAGATATTTCCAAAGCCAGTTTATAGGAAAAAGATCAACAGGAATTATCCTCTAATCCAACAATTGGCAAGAGTTAAGAGGAAAACATAATGGTTTAAGAAAATTACAATCTTAAAACACTAAAGAACAGTATGTCTAAGTTTGTAACCAATTGTTTTATTCTTATGAAAGTGTTTACTTGGAGGAAGCAACGATCCAAACCTAGAATACCTTCATACAGTTAAAGAGATGTAAAAAATAATTCTGTCAGTACCTTATGCATCACTACTCTGCATGTCGGAATTTGGAATTCTACCAGAGTGACAGTTTCATTGATGGCTGGACATAACCCCACTCTGATTATCTGTGGTAATATAACAGTCTGTAACCACCACAGCATTTTCTCCTTAAGCACATCATGGCCAATTCAAATGGAGGCCATTTTGAACAGGGATGGTGCCAACAGAACTATGAAATGATGGCATAAGTAAGGCTGTCTTTGTAATGTGAGCTAGAACAAAGAGCAGTCTCGTGTGGGCCTGGAAGCACAGGTGGCCAGGATGCAGACTTGTGCTTGGGCCTGGAAGCTCAGATCCTAGCAGGCACAGCCTCGGGTGGGCCTGAGTCAAGAAAGATCACAGTATTCATGCTGAATTAGAAAACCAAACAAAGATTTAAAAGTTTTTTATTGGAAAAGCAGATTTACAGAGAGGAGAGACAAAGATCTTTCATCTGCTGGTTCACTCCCCAAGTAGCTGTCAATGGCCAGAGCTGCAACAGAAGGAACTATGACCCTGGGTTCAATAACTACAATCAATTATGTGTTATGAGTGTAGACCTTGAGTTCTCAGGATTTCCCAGTTCTAACTTCAAGCTTTAATATCTTCAAATCACCTGTTAAAAGAAGATAGCTATAAGTTATATCTTCGGGCAGAAATTTCAAGAGGAAAGGTTCTGTTCTTATATCTAAGTCCATTATTCATTTAAGCAACTTTTAAAAAATGGTATCAGGCAATTTCAGAGCATATATTCATTCACACCTAATTTTGTAGCTTACTATTATTGTGTAATTTTTACGATTCACACTCCCAAGAAATGAATCCTCTCTTTAAATGCAATTTTCTGAGATCTTTTACACTAAAAGCTCTGGAAAATAAGTGGACAGGAAGAACTCTTTACATATTAAGAGTCTAGGATCTTGCATCTAATCTAGTAAAACATTTTGCTCACCTTACATCAATGGCAGAAAAGCGGAGATCTCCAACCCTCTGGTTCACTCCCTGAACGCTTATTTAGGACAGATAAGGCTAAGCTATTGCAGGGAACACTTGGGCATCACAGGATGTGGACTTAGCAGATCTGGACTTGAACACAGGCACTGTGCTAAGAGCCGCAGGTGTGCCGAGTGGCATGTGAACCCTGTGCCCGTCCCTATCTTTTGATGCAGCCACGAGTGTTTTAACACATCTCCCAGCATGCTCCAACAGAATGGGTGTAGAGCTGGCCACAGTAATTGCAGGCAGCCCACAGAAGCACCTGGGTTGCTAGGTTTATTCATAACATGAGCACAACTCACTGGAAAGGATTCACTTTTCTCTATTATTGTCAATACTTAACTATTTTCAGGGCAAATTCATAAGTTTGATACTTGTTGCAGACAGGGGTCAAGTGTAGCTGTCTGGCTCACAGTGATACTATGGACATTCAACTTTTAAAACAAGCAGTGCTGACATTTTTGAACACTAAATGGTGACAAGTACTTTAAAGCTTTACTAGCTGGGAAAGGCGTAGGTGTCTTCAAATTAATTGGTTGTTGCATCATAGCAGCACATGAAACACCACAGAACTAGCTTTGAGTCAAACCAACATCCTGTGCTGCACTAAGTTGCAAAGTAGGGCTTATGCTGGGCTATGGAATCTAGTTTTAACCAAAATGTAATTCAATACTAGCCAGGAACACATGTTTAATCTTGGCTTTCACTGAGCAAATGCATTTTAATGTAAAGAGAGACTGCTGCCTAGTGAAGTGACCTTTCTGGGGAATTGTACTCTTGAAGGTCTGCTATTCTACAGTCTTAACAGCTTCCGATTAGGTGAGCACATCTCAAGGAACACAGGTGCTTACTACATGTTCAAGCCCCAGTGTTTTCAAAGGGTCACAGTTACCTTTTTAGACTTATTTTCACTTCAAACACACATTTACAGCGAGGCAGACACAGAATGATCTTCCTTCCATTGGTTGGCTCATTCCCCAGATGGCTGCAATGGACAGAGCTGAGCTGATCCAAAGCTAGGAGCCAGGAGCTTCCTCCAGGTGCAGGGTCTCAAAGCTTTGCGCCATCCTCTACTGCCTTCCCAGGCCACAGGCAGGGAGCTGGATGGGAAGTGGAGCAGCTGAGACACAAATCAGTGTCTACATGGGATGATTTGCTTGCAGGTGAAGAATTAACTTATTGAGCCTCAGCACTGGCCCCAACATTTTCTTAAATACAGTTCTGTGGTAGGTGTCTGGCTAAGCTGTTTAAGACATCCTTGCCCCCCACCACCTCTGTTAGCTGATCCATGCGCCTCCTCCACTGTGTTGGCACAAGAGGGTTCTCTCGGTCTTGAGTCAAGGCAGTGAATGATAAGCCATTATTTCTCTGTCAACCAGAAGAAACTCAATGATGGCTGCAATGAGGAAGGGGACTGAGAAACGACACAACCCAGTGGAAAGCATTTGTAGAAAAATCAAAGCCATCCAGAGGAGAGAAGCTGCGTCGGATCCAGTGCAGCAGATAAGCAAGTACCACACCAGCAGTTTTGAGAGTCCATGGGTCCACAGCAAGAAGAACCGTCCAAGAGCTGCTGAGAAAGAGGATGGCGGCTTGCTTTCCTGTGCCCACCTCGCTTCTTGCAAGTTTGGACAAAGTTGCCACCTTCATTTCTTGTCCGGAAGTGGCATCTCCAAGGACGCCAGTCCTGCCTGCTTTCAGCAGTCCTGAGAGTGAAATGTCCTTTGTCCATCCCCCACGTTTCGAGAACAGCTCGGAGTGGGCATCAAGCACCAAGTGCAGACACCCACCTGGGCTGGCACAAAGACAAGGCAAGCTCCTCTTGGAAGAGGACTTGGACACTTGCTGCACTGAAAGAAGTTCCAGTACCTTCGTAATTGACCCTGGTTCCGCTTCTGGTCAAAACCCTGACTGTTGGAGTCCTCAGGAGTTGGTGGTGATGCGGTTATCTCTGAATGATGAATGGAAACCGGGAGGTGATGACGGCAGAGATGGTGTCACCAACAGCACCCCAGGGACCTGTGAGGACCAGCTGCTGGCTGGTATTTTTCGTGCATGGGACACAGCCCACAGAGGCTCGGTAGGAATGGGCAGAGTAATAGATTTTCTGAGACACATGAGCCCAGAGGCTGAAGAGCATGACCTCGAGGAGCTGAAGAACATATTTGACCCTGAAGAAAGAGACTCCAGTGTGGACCTGGAGGCGTTCCAGACAATTGTCAAAGTTGATGGCTCGTTACCGGAGCACATGTTGTTCCAGTGCAGGAGTCACCAGCAGGTTGAGTAGCATCGCTGATGATTCTGTCTTTGAGCTGGGGGACAGCATCAGTTCAGGCAGGGCAGTTTCAGGGACCACAGATGACATGGATGTCTCATCACAGGGAGCCTTAGAAGTGTCTGATTTGATAGACTACGTGGCACACCTACATTTCAACAAGCGAAAGTTGGAAGAGGAAAATCCTAAGTTTAAATTGGCAATAGAAACCTTGGCAGAAGCCAACGGGCAGTTGTCAGAGGAGTGTGCTGAGCGACACTTTCAGGTGAAAAGTGCCCAGCAGGCTATTATAACAAATCTGTTAAAAGAAGAACTGGAACAACTGAAAAATAGTATGAATGCTGCAGAAGAACAGAAGACCATGCTTGAGGCCCAGAACAAACACTTAGAAACAAAAAACCGAGCTCTTAGCAGGGTTTGCTGCCCTGTGCTGGATCAGTAAAACACTCCATGTATCTAAGCATGAGGCAGGTGGGCCCAGCAATGGCTGGTGCAGGCAGCCGACCTTGGTGGCAGCTTGCACGCAGTGCTGGTTTGCAGATGTGCAGGATCCAAGAATTATTGCATCCTTGCAGCTTCCACCTGGGTTTCAAAGACAAGCCTGGGAAGCCAGGCCACATTGTGCCACAGCGTTTAAAAAAAAAAAAAAAAAAAAGACATCCTTGCCCCCATCAGACTGTCTAGGTTGAACCCCCAGCTCTGACTCCAGCTGCACAATGCACGGACCCTGCAGCAGCGATGATGGCTCAAGTGACTGGGTTCCTGCCACCAGGCTGGAGACCTCCATTGCTGTTTCCGACTCTTGCCTTAGGTGCCAGCCCAGCCCTGGCTGGTGTGGGAGTCTGGGGACTTGAAGCTGTGAAGGGGAAGTGTTCTTTCTCTGCCTCTTAGGAAAAAAACATACAATCATCTCTTTGGGAATGCCTTTGTTGGCAACTTCATCTAGAAAAGCTTCCACATGAAGCATGAAGCTCCACTCCTGACATCACTGAGGTCAGACCAGTAGTTCGCTTCAGGAGATTTTGTCATCGTGTGCCCAGAGAGCAAACTGTTGACAGACACTGCAATTCGGCCTTTTACTGTCATCATTCCTCAGTCTTGCAGGAAGCGGGTTTTCAGGAAAGGCTGTATATTCAAGATCTCTAAAAAACAGCATGCACAAGGAAATGATTACCTGCCCGTGTGTCCCATCTTCCCGGTTCTTGACGCTCTGGTTTGCTGCTGGATGTCCACTCGACGGAAGACGCCAGGAGGCAGGGATCCGCAGCGAGCCTCACCACCACTGCTGATCTCCAAGTTAAAAAACGTCAAAGCAGGAGCTCTCTGACTTCATTAGACTACTGTTTCTAGAGGGAAGATGACAGTGATTCCAGCCTCTTACCTTTTATTTAAAGGAAGCAGAGTTTGCCAGAATAAACTGTGTGACCAGAGTGCACAGGAAGTGGAGTTTGACAACTGATTAAGGAATCACCCCTCCACATTAGTTAAGACACTTCCCCTAACCAAGATGGACATTCTGAGAGCACAGGGCAGATTTCAAATACAGCTGTTATTATGGAAACCTACTGTGAAGCTCAAGGCAAGACACATTTCCTATTTCTGAAATTTCTCATTGACTCTAATCACACAGTTTATTCTGGCAAAACTGTTTACTCATTTCAGATAGAGATGAAGAATAAAAAATCAAGTTTTATACACCCTTTATCCTAGTCAAGGCTACAGGATAAATTTTTTACAATTTAAAAAAATTAAGCTTGTCAATAAACATTTATTCTTGTTTACAAAACACACAGTAATCCGTTCAGAAGGAACCAGGAACGAATGCCTCAGCTCCGACTTCACCTGCAAAGGAACGCAAGTGAGCCTTACGTCATCACGTTCCCAGCAGGCCCGCAAGCTGCACATTCCTCTGCTTCTCTGACCCAGCAGCAGGAGCCGGCTGGGTGTCTGCTGAAACACCCAGCAGCAGGCATTTGATACAGTGGTTAGGACCCTGTTTGGGATGCCCATTCCCCGTATCGAAGGGTCAGCTTCAGTCACAGGTCTGCCCTGTTTCCAGGTTCGTGCTAAAGTCCATTCTAGAATGCAACAGTGACGGCTCAAGTAGCGGTGTCCCTGTGACACTGGTGGAAGACCTGGGTTGAATTTCCAGCTCCTGGTTCTGGCCAGCAAGGTCTCTACAGCCATGTGGGGAGTGGACGGAAGCTGTGCCATCTGTGTCCTGGGTTTGTTTCTCTGCCTCTCTCTAATAAAACTGTCCCATGTCACACTTAAAGGTGAAGATCAAATTATAATTGAAATCAATATATTATATCATTGAAAAAAGTAGGATATGCCTACTTCATTTCACAAACAAGGCCATGAAGAACTTAATGCTCATGTGCAGTAAGGAATTTTAGTTTTATTTATAGGAAACACTGGACAAATTTTCCCAAAAGTGTCATAAGAAAGAATGCAATAAAAGGGAAAAAATGTAAAGCCCAAAGTCCTTTAGTGCTGCTCTCTAATTCCAAACAAGGAAAAGGTGTCCCAGGTCTGAAATCTCTATGTACAAACAGAAGAGCAAGAAGGCTGCAGATTTCTCATCTCCTAACTGGAAATTTCCTAAAATGTCTTTCCACCAGGGAAAGCCCAGATGACCAATTACTGAATTAAACAATTCTATCTCAATTATCTAAACAAATCTGTGTGTTCTGACTTTAAAAACCTAAGAAATAGGATTACCTTGTTTCTATAGTACCATGTAGCTATTTGGAAGCACACCTGCCTTTCAGTAGAGTGCCTCACTTGGTGTCATCTTTGCGACAACCTGAAAGCACAGTTATCCTGAATGCTATTTTAGTAGATAAATATAAAGACTAATCAAAAACCTCTGTAAGAATAAAATATCTTAGCCTTTCACATATTAAATCAGAACCTGAAGGTAGAATAATGGACATTGCTTTCAAGTATACAAACTATGTGCTTAAAAAAAAATAAAAATGTCCTTTAGTTCAAGCCCAAGGTGTCCGAGACGCTGTGAGCACGAACATGTGCTAAGAGTCAGGTCCTGCGTGCTGCGGGTCACTCCTGCCAGTGTCTGCAAGAAAGCAACAAAAGCCATCTAATGTTGGCTGGACAACAGCCCATCCCAAGTTTCAGTTACACAAACATAGCTTCTCATTTAAAGATAATTTAGGAAACAAATTACAGAAGATATAAGTGCAAAAATGACAACCGATTCCAGGGAGACAGCAATAAAGAGAAACCTTCCAATGCGGGAGGTTTGCCAGTTTTAGCCCCACAGCGCCTTGATGAGCCTGGGGCCGCGGAGACACAGCGTGAGGCAGTGGTACTGCAGCATCTGCAGAAGCAAGCATGTGGCAGTGGGGATGGAGACTAAGGAAAGGAACAGCTCACATTTCCTGGACATTCAAGTACTGAGGACTTTCAGACACACTGGCATGTTGTTATTTCCATTTTATAGATGGCAAGAAAGCACAAGAGCTATATGAAATGCAGACAGCTGGGGTATCACCAACAGCACAGCGAGCAGGGAGTGCGAAACCACTTCAGGGCCAATGGCTTCTGATGACCACAGAATAATACTTCTTACACAGCAACAAAACCAAATACCCTTTTTGCAAATTAAAATTTTTTTAAAAAAATTTAATGGTGAAGTAGTACTCATTAAAACGCACCCTCCCAGTTTTAACACCAGCTTTTTAAATTGGAAAAACTACATAATTGCAGCAAAAATTTCATATTTTTGGTGTACACCATGTTTTCAAATATGCATCCACCATGGAATGGCTAAATCAAGTCAAGCAACATATGCATTACAACTTACACTTAGCTTTTAGCTTTATGAACACTTAAAACAAATGCCGAGCTCGCAGAGGGGAACCGTGGCCTCACAGCCTCGCCCAAGGAGACCACAGGAAGCCCGGTGTCCACAGGAAGCGCCTGGGCCTGCTCCCCAAGGTCCTGCAGTCAGGGTAAATGCTTCTAAGCTACAACAATCGTGTACTAGAGAAACCAAATCTACTCCTGAGTTAACCAACACTGGCAGACACCAACAAGCGGGCCCAGCCTAACTCCACACACTAAAAATACGCCATTTATGAATAAAATACACTGTTCCGAGAGCAGCTGAGGGAAGATGCTCCTACAGGTCAGCTTCTACCACTGCGGCATTCCCCAAGCGCTCTCCTCTTCCTAAGACTCATCTCAAACTGCAGTTTCAGCATTTCATGTTTTCTTAGCTTCACAGTTATTTAAACATTTTGATATGAATATGATTTAGCTGGAATTTTACTATTTTGGGGAAAAAACATGCTTCCTTGTCCAAAAGAGCAAAATTCAAGAAACACCAACTTTTCCCAGTTGGCAATAGCAATTCTGATGGAATTTTCTGTTACTGTGGCAAAATAACTGTAGGATTAATCTTTACAATTTCGTAATAGGGCTTGGCACGGTAGCCTAGTGGCTAAAGTCCTCACCCTGCATGTGCCAGGATCCCATAAGGGCACTGGTTCATATCCTGGCTGCTCCACTCCCCATCCAGCTCCCTGCTGTGGCCTGGGAAAGCAGTTGAGGATGGCTCAAAGCCACCCGGAAGAAGCTCCTAGCTCCTGGCTTTGGATCAACTCAGCTCTGGCCATAACAACCACTTGGGGAATGAACCAAAGGATGAAAGATTTTTCTCTCTCCTCTCTGTAAGTCTGACTTTCCAAAAATAAATAAATCTTTAAAAAAAATTAGTAATAGCCCAGAATGCTTTTAAAAGAACAAAAATGTATGAATTTGCTTTGCCTTGCAAATATTAAAACATGATTTGCAAGTTATTATTTATTTACTACACAATATTAGGACAACTGTTAAATACTTGGGGGGAAAACTGATTAGTTAAATCATATCTTAAATTATGTGCACTAAAATTTTAAATGTAAAATATAAAGTCCACAATTATTAGCAAAATGCCAGCCAAAACCTACATTTGATCTTAGCAAAAAGGCCAAGAAATGATTAGCAAAAATTTAATTCTGAAATAAAACATCATCCTAAACAAGCATGCTACTAAAGGCAGAAAAATGAAAGGGGAAGGTAAACTCCATACAGATTTAAAAGTTCTATGTAATAAAATTTATGAAGAAGTCGAAAGATGCAGAAATTAGGAGGAAATAGATGAAAAAGACCCGACATTTTCAACAAGTAACTAAGTGTAAGAGTCCATATGGATACTTGGTATCTTCACAGAATCAGCTAGGGAGGGACGGGTACTTCCTGAGTGGCACAGTGACGCACACAGGAAGGGTTAAGGGCATCCATGACACAAGTGGGCAGTGCGCTGTCGCTCACCTGCCAGACAACAGAAGCCTCCTCACCAAGGGCTAAACACACACAACAGCCTGATTACAAGGTGTCACTCATCATAAAGGAAATGACAGAAAATCCAAAATGCCAGCAACACACAGCTATATGTTAAAATAGATTAAAAAGCTGCTTCTTGAAAAAGGAGCTTTACTTAGTAAAAAACACAGCCGTGTGTTTAGCATCTTTTCCCATCCTCAAGCACAGAAAACACCCGGGCCTGCCCAGGGTGTCGGGGTTCATTTTTTCCTTCATGTGCTTCTGCATTTTCTGATCTCCTGCCTGCCGCTGGCAGCCTAGCGTGGCAGGCGCTGCGAGCACTCACCGAGCAATGCTGTGCTTTCTTCTGCGTCCTCCTTCAAGCCGGCAGGGTCCTGTGGCACAGCTTCGCTTGTGGATGCTGACAGCAAGCTGCCCGGGTGACTTCTGTCATCCTCGTCTTGCAGACTCACATGCAGAGTCACCGGAGAAATGCTTCCTGGGGTGGCCTCGGGAGCAGGCAGCTCCTGCACAGCCTCAGGCTCCCCCTGGAGATTAGGACAGAAGAAAAATACTTCGCTAAGCAACAGGTTCAAAGCTCATCTACCATGCTGCTCCTAGTTCCCACGCTACTCACTTCTCCTTATCTGAGACTATCAGAAAATCCACGTCTCCTAAGCAGCCTGCTAAGATCAACATGTCCTTAATTCTATTTCTTCCCTTTTGATACGAGCTACGCTACCTCTGGAACCACCTACTGACATAATGGAAAGCTTCCTTCTGTTTTCCTGCTTCTGCCGTACATCATGACCATAACCAAGAATTAACTGCTGCCTTACAACGCTTTAGACACTACATTTTCAAAGATGAACAAAGGGCTTCATATTGTATTTTAATTTTCTCAAGAAGTAAGAAAAATCAGTTCTGTCATCTTCCTTACTGTCTCTCAGGTGCATCCCACCTCCAGCTTCCCTTCACTACCTACTTTGAAGATTATAATGTTAGGCTGGCAACTCCATCAGCATCACAGTACAAAGTCTCAGTCCCTGGGAGCACTCCAGAGAGCCGAAGGTGGTGCCACCTGCACCAACTCAGTGTGGGCTCCTGCAGGACACGGCCACTCCCTCAACCCCACAAGGCCCAAAGCCTGCTGTCTCCTGTTTATCTCAATACCTACCCAAACCTAACTACCTGTCAGTCCCAACTCCATAGTTCAATTCACAAACATGTCATCAACCTGACTCCCGGCTCAGCAGCCCTCTAATATAAACTCTTGAACTTCCCACTCCCAGGCGGCAGGTAAGTTGCTCCTAGATAGCACTTCAGACACACCTCTGTTGCCATGCTGTGTGTCTGTGTGTGTGTCCCCCAGCCCCTTTGCTAGTGTATATCACTCTGTGTGTGTGTGTGCGTGCAGTCCAGCCCCAGCAGATCAAAAGTGAAATCCTCAAGAGCTCTCTGCTCCAAAAGACCAAGAAAAGCTCTAACACTTCAGACGGCACTGCTTTGATCAATGCTTGCCAAATGAGTGAAAGCAATGGTAACCAGTGGTGACAATGCAAGCCAAAGGATCCTGCTGTCTACCTGGCTGTGAGGACTGAGCTGGTCACCAGGGCAGAGCAGTCACACCTAACCCAAGCACCTGGTACAGGGCAGGCAGGGGTGACCATCTACCAGCCCAGCGGGAAACATCAAAGACAACCAATAACCAGCACACTGCTGAGAAGTGAAGTACCACATGTTGCTGTTCCTCAAAAACACAAGTTCCAGGGACACACATCCTAGACTTCCAAAAGTAACATCCTTAGAAATCAGCTCAACCTTCTGAAAAAGGAAGGATCCTGACTTATAAAATATGAAGCATGCAAAAGTTAGGATTAAAGTCCATTTGCTAAGGTCAGGGACACACATTTTAAGTAAGTGTCCAGAAATGAAAAACAGGGCTAAGATTATCCCCTAATAAAGGAAACAGCTGTGAGTGAGCTTCTAAAACTACCCAGGGCCTGGCATGGTAGCCTAGTGGCTACATCCTCGCCTTGCATCTGCCCGGATCCCATTTGGGCACTGGTTTGTGTTCCAGCTGCTCCACTTTCCATCCAGCTCCCAGCTTGTGGCCTGCAAAAGCAGTAGAGGACGGCCCAAAGCCTTGGGACCCTGCACCTGTGTGGGAGACTCGGAAGAAGCTCCTGGCTCCTGACTTCAGACTGACTCAGCTCTGGCTGTTACAGCCACTTGGGGAGTAAACTCTCCCTGTTACCTCCTCTGTGTAGATTTGACTTTCAATTAAAAAAAATGATTAAATTTTAAAACAAAGAACAACAACAACAACAAAAAAACACACACTTTGCCCAAAGCTTCCAGGAGTCCAGTATTTAAAATGTCCCAGAAGGCCTACCCTCTTCTCTAAGGTACAATTTACAACGATGAACCCAAGTTCATGAAGAAAGGCTGTATCATGCTAGGTAGAGCTGTATGATCAACAATCCTGAACAAGCAACATTTATAAATTCCAGAGGAAAGACAAACTTTCTAGACATCTCAGAATGAGTTTCCAGCAAGATGTTTCCTGAAATTTGATCTTCCCCCTTTGTATGTCACTGAAGCAGGTGTATTCTGGAACTTGCATTGAAAACCGTAACTCCCAGGGGCTGTACGGGGGTTAGCAGGCTCTGCCCTGTGGTGTTAGCATCCCATATGGGTGCTGGTTCACTTCCAACCGTGCTCTCTGCTTATGGCCTGGGAAAACAGTGGAGGATGGCCTGAGTCCTTGGGACCTTGACCCCATACAGGAGACCCAGAAGAGGCTCCTGGCTCCCGACTTTGGATCAGCTCAGCTATGGCCTTTACAATCATTTGCGGAGTGAACCAGTGGATGGGAGATCTCTCTCTCTGTCAAATCTGCCTTTTAAGTAAAAAATAAATAAATCTTTAAACAAACCCCATAATTCACAGGAAAGTATAGTAGCCATCAAGGTGGAGATTTCTTAAATATTTTTCGAGGACACCTTAATCTGGAAGGTGTAACGTTCTAAGTCGACCCGCTGCTCAGAAGGCAAGTTTTCTAAAGAAGCACAACTGTTTAGTGACGCCATTCAAACAGTCTTACATGGCTATTATGGCCTTGAATTGTGTAACACGACCATGATATTTCTGTGCTGTTCAGGGCAGGTGTTGTGGCACAGCCAGTTATACTGCTACCTGCAATGCCAGCTTCCCATACTGGGGCACTACTTCAGATCCTGTCAACTTCACTTCTAGTCTAGTTCCCTGCTGATGCACAGTGCAGAGCAGTGACATACGGCCCAAGTGCCTGGGAACCCGCCAGCCACATGAGAGACCTGGCTGGAGTTCTGGCCTTCCACCTGACCTAGCCCCGACTCTTATGGCCACCTGGGCAGGGAACCAGCAAAGGAAATCTCTCTCTCTCTCCCCGCCCCCACCTTCTCACATATGTTTAGCAACAGGAAAATATATTTGATATTTTTAATATGCATTTTTTCCCCAAAAGCCCTTAAAACTGCATTAGTTAATAGAGTATTTTGAACATTAAAAGATTGCATGGGGAAAAAAAAAAAAGATTGCATGGAGCCTGTAAAAACAATGAAAAGTATGACCAGAAAAACCTTCTCCCCCTGTGTGGCTGCCCTCCCTGGGTAAGGCAGTGGTTAAGAGCTGGAGCCTGTCATCAAGCTGTCTCATGTCTGAGAGACTAGCTGTGGGAACGTGGCAAGTTACTCAGCAGACTCTGGGCCCAAATACCTAGTTAGTAAAGCTGGGTGGGAACACGTTGTCCACCAAGGTGGACACATGACCACACAGATAAGGCACCTTGACACATGACTGGCTAGCTGCCACCCTGGTCTCCCTTGCACCTTGCACTCATGTCTACCGAGGAAAGTCCTATAACCATCTAAGGGTCACAGCCTGTTGGACTGACAGGATGGTGATGTGGGAAGTGTTAGCCTCAGGTTCCTCACAGGTCAAATGTGCTGTATGAGACAAAACAGTTCAAGGATCCCTAAATTTCATTTTGATTCTGGTTTATTCAGAACTGACTACATGCAGACATTCTGCAGTAAAGCTTACCAGAGCACACTGCTCAAGTCATTATAAATTCTGGCATATCATTCTATCATACATTCAGTACGTTTATTTTGGATTGCCTCAGGAACTCGTTTTAACAGAGCAATGTTTTTTTCGGAGAACCATAACGATGTGGGAATAGCACCTCATCAGTTTCTCTTGCCTCTTGTCAATAATGGAATGGGAATCCCTCAGGAAGAACCAGGGCAAAGGTTGAATATAAACAAAAATGCAACAAACCCAATATCCCAGGGCTTTGATGACATCAAGTTTACACATTGGACACGTTCGGTGATCCAAAAGCCATGGGTCAATGCATATTCTATGAAAAATATGCCTAAAAAAATTAAGTATGTGTTAATGTCTCAGAGTAAATGTTTATAAACTCTATAAAGGAAATAAGACATTCTCTAACTCATCTTCTCATTACAATTATCTGACAATACCTCAGCAACAATCGGCCAGTCACCTGTCCTAACTCATTGCTCATCTGCGGTGTGCAGTGACACCCTCCCCGCAGGCCAGGAAGGGCATGGCTCATGTGTACTTCATGCCAGGCTGCACTCTCTATGTGCCACTGTGAATTACAGGCCTTCTGGGAATGAATGTAGCACAAATAAGCTAAGAAACAGATTTTGATATTGACTTCCCAAAATGATTTCAATGAAAACAGCAAAATACGAACAGAACATCTGTTAGTCATAAGCTTAAAGAATACTTTTCCCTTCTCCTGCCTTAAGCTGGGTCTCTTGGCTGTTGAGGCCATCCAGGGAATAAACTAGTGAATTCCCTCTAACTCTTTCAAAAATACATAAATCAATCATATATTTCCATAAATATATATGGAAGGAAAAGGTCATTCAACATTTTCTTCTTTTACTTATGCATCTTACATGGCTAACTTTTCCTCTTACAATGAAAATCAGGGTTTTGGGCTCAAAAGCAGCTGTGCAAGCTGAGGGCTGCAACGGGAAGGAGGCTCCTGTGCTCTCTGCACCTGCACCAGCGGTGTTCGCAGGCACACACAGCATGTGTGCAACAGCGCCAGGTGCAGCACGGAACTGTTGTACGTGACTATTATTGTTCTCAGAAGATACTTTCTTCAAACAGAAATCCAATGTTTATAGTCCAGTTTGTCTTTTGGCCTATCCATCCTGACTAAACACAAAAGGAATATATACATATAGATCTTTTACAAAAACACAAAAGAAAATTGGCCTTACTGGGGACTTTGTTACATAGAACACAAGAAAAAATGGGGAAAGGGGGGGATCCAACCCCAAGAAGGAGACTGAGAGTGTGCACAAGTAACAGGCCTGCGCCAGAGGATCAAGGGTAGACTCCAGCCCCGCAGCCAGCATCCTCCTTAGTGCATTCTCCCCATCCCTGCAGGCTCCTGAGCACTGCTGCAAGACTGCAAGACAACGACGTGCTCTAAACCAGCAGGGAGCACAACCTCACTGCCTTAAACACCCACTGCACCAATCCCACAGCAGTGGCTCCATGTTTCAGACAGCTACTTTTATTCAGAAAACTTTCATCCTGTTATTCTGAAACTTGTTGCTTCAGTTCATTCAAAGAATGATCAAGAATTTAATCTGGCAAGTATCTTTGCATGGATATTCCAAAAACATGGAAAATGGAACTAAAAGGGTAAATTTATTTTGGTGCAAAAATATTCTGCAATACATGCTCATAAACTGTCATCTTGTTATATAAACCAAGCAATCATTAAAAAGGTTTGGACTCAAGTATCCCATTAAATCTCAAACTTTGTTGGTAAACAAAGCCCCCACTGTAGCTACAGTAAAGGAGGAAATACTCATTTTATACTACTTCTGAAAGAACCAAAACCCAAGGTGCAAATCAGTAGGGCCAGATGCCACCTGTGATCCTGGCAACCCACATGAGCACTGGTTGCAATTCTGGCTGCTCTGCTTCGGGCCCAGCACTCCCACTCTCGTGCCTGGCAAGGCAGAGGAGGATGACACAATTACTTGGGTCCCTGCCACCATGTGGCAGATGCAGTCTGGCCACACCCAGTCAGTCATGGTCACTGTGGCCATGTGGGCAGTCAACCAGTGGCAGATCAACCTGCCCACCCTGGCACCTCTGTGACTTGGCCTCTCTCCCTGGGTATTCGGGGCCCTCTCCTTTGGGTCCTGCACTCTTCTTTCTTAGTTTCTTCTGTCCTAACACAGCACACTTTTGCCTTGCTAAAAGTGGATTAAAACTCCTGGGATTGGAATGTAGCCTTGATTATGAGCCAACCCATGATAAAAATATATAATGAAACTTAATGGTCATCTATGAGTCTCCAAAGCAAAACATTTTTAAAATGACACTGAAGTTTCTCTTTTAAGAGATGAGACAACCTTATCATAAAGATACATAACTCTTATAGGAAATGTATTATGTAATTTTAAATAGCTCATTAGAAAAGAGAACATACTTGCATGGCAGTATTCTGATAATATCCTTTACTTTAAAATTTTCAATACACACTGCACAATTTTCAGGATCAACGTCAATTCCCTGTAAAAAGATGAGAAGTATTTACTGTTAACTTTGGTGTGCACTGTATCATTTCAACTCATTAAACCCTGACTAAATGAGGAACAATATTCTCCATTGGTACAATCTGAAACTAAAACAGAAATAATTGTACTCTGTATTTACTTTTGTCACCATCAAAAGGTTATTTTAAAGGTGGATGTGTGGCCTAGAGGCTACAATACCCACACTGTGCATGAAGAGAGACTGAGGTGGCACCAGCCTGCCATGTGAGAACCAGTTTGAGTTTCAGCTGCTTCACTTCTGATCCAGCTTCCTGCTAACATGCGCGGGAAAGCAGCAGGATGGATGGCCCAGGTGCCTGAGCTCTTCCATCCCCATAGGAGACCCAGATGCCTCCCTGAGCTTCAGACTGACACAGCTCTGGTCACTGTGGCCATTTGGGAGGGAAGCAGCAGATGAAAGATCTCCCTATTGTGGTCTCTAACTCTTCCAGACAACTAACTCAATCTTAAAAAAAAAAAAAAAAAATAGAGAGAGAGAGAGAGAACGACTGAGGTGGAGGCCAGGCTTCAGCCCAACTCAGCTTTCCACGAATGCAGACTCAAGGCAGCCATGACGCCCCAAGTGTCTGAATTCAGCCATTCCCAGCCCAGTTCCTGTGGGTCTCTGTGAAGTGAACTGGTGAGTGGGAGTGTTCTGTCACATTAAAATGATAAAATGTAAAAATAAATAACTAAATACATACACTCTTAAAAACATATTGAACAAATCTGGCTGTAGAGTCACCGATTACCTAACCAAATATCAACAATATTTAAACACTAAACCAACATACATGTTTTTAATACCCAGTGCAGTAAACTAGTCTTCTCCTTGCATGTGCTGGCATCCCATGTGAAAGCTGGTTCGTATCCTGGCTGCTCCACTTCCCATCCAGCTCCCTGCTTGTGGCCTGGGAAAGCAGTAGAGGATGGCCCTAAGCCTTGGGACCCTGCACCCGTGTGGGAAACCAAGAGGAAGTTCCTGGCTCCTGGCTTCGGATTGGCTCATTTCTGGCCGTTGCGGCCACTTGCGGAGTGAACCAGTGGATGGAAGATCTTTACTTCTGTCAAATCTGACCTTCCAAAAATATGTAGAAAATTCTTTTTTAAAAAAGTATTAAAGAGATATATACATAGACATGCAAATGCCTGCTGTGGCATGATAATTTGTTTTCCTGATACAAAACATAAAATATGAAGGAAATATATATTCAATAAGCTGTCTTCTGATACCATTAAAAAATAAATTTGCTAAAAAAATAGAGTTAACAATCTGTAAATGAGAAATGGTAAGTGGGTAAATACCTAAAAAGGTTCATCTAACTAGACATAAAAAAAAAATCACAAACTAGGGCCCGGTGTGGTGGCGCAGTGGTTAAGGTCCTCGCCTTGCCTCGCACGCCTGGGATCCCATATGGGCGCCGGTTCTAATCCCGGCAGCCCCGCTTCCCATCCAGTTCCCTGCCTGTGGTCCGGGAAAGCAGTCGAGGACGGCCCAAAGCGTTGGGACCCTGCACCCGCATAGGAGACCTGGAAGAGGCTCCTGGCTTCGGATCAGCATAGCAGTGGCCGTTGCGCTCACTTGGGGAGTGAATCATTGGATGGAAGATCATCTTCTCTGTCTCTCCTCTCTGTATATCCGCCTTTCCAACAAAAATAAAATAAATCTTTAAAAAAAGATTACAAACTAAATAATGATTTTTTAATCCAACAAGTTAACAAAGGTACAGAAAATCCAAAACTGCTGAGGAGGGGGCAGCACTGTGACCACTTCCCCCTCTAAGGACTCGCTGGTGGGTCGGCCCGCCCGCCTGCTGTGGGTGCTGCCTGCACCTGCCTGCACAGTCCTGCTCCCATCCACCAGGCAGCCGGGGTCAGAGCAGCCATCTGACCCGAGACAGCCCCACACGATACTCTGTCCTGGGGTTCCGGGGACAGACTTCCAGAAGCAAAAATCGCTGTCTCCATATGGCTGCCACTCTGGCAAATCTGTTTTATGGAAGGCAGTGACACAATCCTTGGATAATCATTCAAAAAAATAGTATTTGGCAATACACATCATCCATTAACAAAGAAGCAGGAACAACTCCATTTTATATGTATATAATATTATCAAAGTCTGTATTAAAATTAACTTCAGACATTTAAAATTTTACCCTGCAACGACAGTAAATACTATCACTTACTTAGCAAATGCCATGCAGAAATACCACAATAATTTTGAAGTCCCTAATAATGGTCGGTAAATGCATATTTATTAACTTATTTAAAATTTTATTTTTATTGGAAAGTCAGATTTACAGAGAAAAGGAGATACAGAGAGAAAGATCTTCTATCTGATGGTTCACTCCCTAAGTGGCTGCCAACAGCTGGAGCTAAGCCAATCCAAAGTCAGGAGCCAGGAGTTTCCTCTGGTTCTCTCCTGCAGATGCAGGGTCCCAAGCCTTTGGGCCGTCCTCCACTGCTTTCCCAAACCACAAGCAGGGAGCTGGACGGGAAATGGAGCAGCTGAGGTATGAACTAGCATTCATACAAGATCACGATGCATGCAAGGCAAGGATTTAGCCACTAGGCTACAGTGTTAGACCTAATGCATATGACCCCAGAAGCTGTTTAACAGGTAGATGGAAAAATATTTTTCTGTACAATTTTTAAAAAAAGATTTATTTAACTGTATTGGAAAATCAGATATACAGAAAGGAGAAGAGACAGAGAGGAAGATTTTGCATCTGATGAGTCACTCCCTAAGTGGCCACAACAGCTGGAGCTGCACTGAGCAGAAGCCAGGAGCTCTTCTGGGTCTCCCACGGGGTGCAGGGTCCCAAGGCTCTGGGCGACATTCGGCTGCTTTCCCAAAAGCAGGGAGCTGGAGGGGAAGTGAGGCCACTGGGATTAGAACCGGTGCACATATGAGATCCCGGTGCATTCAAGGCGAGGACTTTAGCCACTAGGCCACCATGCTGGGCCCTCTGTACAATTTTAAAATGTAAAAACTGCTATTTCTCGGGACTATCCAGGCATGATTTTCAAAAAACCCAGAAACATATTTTCAAAACTGTTAAGGAACTGTTTATCCATTTATTTATATCCTCAAAGACTCGGCTCAGTAACGCACACTGTATCCTTACGTTTAAGGATAGTGATTTTCTCCTAAGTCACGTTCCCAGGACATGACAGTGCGGGCTTGTGACTTACGATGATGAACATGTGCAGTGTCACCTGCAGTACAGACTCGCTCCCCAAAGAGGTGTGATGATTTGTGGATCAGATGCTAATTAAGCCCCTAGAAGTAATTTTTTTTTCTCTTAACCCTTTTTGGCTTAATACACTGTCAATATTGTTCTGTTCAATACATGTGGAAAGAAACCAGAACCTTGCACAAATTACTAAAATGAAAAGGCACAAGAAAAGTTATCAGGGAAGGAAGGACAGCCAGCAATGATGCCCCAGAGTATCTTCACATTACATGTGCTCACCAGAGCCGTGAACACCAGTCTCCAGATTTCTAAAAAGGTCGATAATTTAACGTGCTATTTTTCCTCTAATTTTTAAGTAGGTCATAGAAGCACATATGCACGACAAGCTAAATTCCTTTTTTTTAAGTCTCAATAATTTAGTGAAATGAAAACAAACATAGAAAGAACTTAGCGCAGCACAGCAGTTAACACTTCCACACTGACACTCCACAGCAGAGCAGCAGTGTACAAGACAAAGAGCAAATGCTGCTGCACCTGCAAGCTTTCTCCTTGCAGGGATTCTGCCTCCTGGATTCCAGATCAACCCTATTCCAAAACTGCTTTAAAATTCTCGGCCTGGCACGGTAGCCTAGTGGCTAAAGTCCTCGCCTTGCATATGCTGGGATCCCATATGGGCACTGGTTCTAATCCCAGCAGTCCCCCTTCCCATCCTGCTCCATGCCTGTGGCCAGGGAAAGCAGTTGAGGATGGCCCAAAGTCTTAACCCTGCACCCGTGTGGGAGACCCGGAAAGTCTCCTGGCTCCTGGGTTATAGAATGGCTCAGCTCCGGCCTATGTGGCCACCTGAGGAGTGAAAAGCCAATGGAGGATCTTTCTGTCTTTTCCTTCTCACTGTAAATCTGCGTTTCCAATAAAAATAAATAAAACTTTAAAATGAACTCTTGCATGAAAGCTTGTGCCAAACTTATTTAAGCTCCACCAGCTTGATATCATGAATTAGCAGCCTGGAGGAAAATTCCTCACATTAGAGACACATTCTACAGAGTGTATCCCGAAAGCAAAAGAAAGTCAGGAAACCATTACCTTCTCCGTGTGTTTTACAGTGTGAAGCGGAAGCTGGCCGATTACTTTCTTTGTCTCCTTTCTATGACTCTAGGCAGAAAAACACCACCATTTGATGAAATTTTAATTAAATCACTATTTTTAAAAGTCACGAATAATATAAACAACTATAAAGGAAAAAAACTCATTTACAAAGCAAAGTTGAATGACTACACTGACAGTAACAAGTAAATAAGAAAACACTCAAACAAAAACCAAGCCATTCAAGTATTAATGTAAATAACAGCCAGATGTAACTGAAGAGCTGTTTGGTCAAGAATACTTATTTTCAGTTCCATGTTTGAAGAAGAAATGAAATGTTCTGGTTATCATTAGCAAGACAGTGCTTGGCAGAGGAAAGAGCCCTGCCAAGCCCAGTGGTAGGGAATGAGGCCTGGGCATGGCTGCGGGGGCCTGGCAGCCTGGGTGTGGCTGCGGGGCCTGGGAGTGGGCACGCTGCTCCTTGCTGGCCCGAGACAGGAGCTCCTAAAGCAGGTGGCTGCACAGCAGCTCAGCGGGGTCCCCTCCCTCTTAGCTCCTGGCCTATAGGCCTAGGCAGAGCAGCAGGGTTCTAGGCAGCAGGCCTGCTCCACCTCACACCCCAAAAAGGACAAACTGCCTTATTTACATAAATCAACTGTGCAAATTTCAAGGAATCCAATTCCCCACAACAAATTTGTTGTATTCCAGCTAAAAAACTTACTTCTAAAAAATTACAATAAACATGCATGATAATGAAACTAACAAGATAGTAACACAACAGCTTCAGGGAATATAAATATATCTCATTTTTATGAATTATCTTTGAGAAAGCAAAATTACGAGTTAGCCATAGTTACCTGCCTTCCAAACTGTGAGCCCGTGTACAGGAAGCGCTGTATGTAGTAGAATATGAGCCAGGCCAAGGAGATGATCATCATGGTGATAAAGGCGATGGCCACAAACACCACAGACTGACTGTTGATGAACTCCTGCACGTGGCGCATGCCAATCCCGATCGTCATTGTGACTGGAATTCCTTTTTGCACCAGATCCAAAATTTCTCTTCCTTTTGGGTAACTAATCATAATGACCACTATATTTCCTGTTCCTGTAGGGAAAACAAGAAAAAACAGAATAAAGACCCTAAAAATAGAGAGAATGAGCCGTGTTGGAGCACCATGCCCGTCTACACCATTACACACACGGGACACTTCAGTGAGATGGATAAGCCTCAAGGTGAACACCAATTACAAACAGTCGTTCCCAAAGAGAAAACAAGACCAGTTCTCCTGGAAACGAGCATCGGTGATCTTAGGTTTCAGAGTTAAGATGACAAAACTAAGTTTCAGAATGATTTCTAAGATCCTAAATCTATAAACACAGTCATGAAGAATCCCACAGGACAGTTCTATGCTTCAGCACTAATACCCAATCTAGAAGCAAGCTGATTAAACTCAGGAGGCAAGAAGAGAATCCCCCATAATTATTTTCAAACACTGTCATTTCACTGAAAGCATGAGTACACACAAGACAAAGCGAAAACAAGCAAGCAAAAACAACCCAGAAAAGCATGACAATAATCATCTCTAAAATGAATGGAAGAATTATTTTGGCAAGAGTATTCTTCTTCTTCTTCTTTGGATTTATTTTTATTGGAGAGTCAGATTTACAGAGAGATGGAGAAACAAAGATCTTCCATCTACTGGTTCACTCCCCAAATGGCCCCAATTGCCGGAGCTGAGCCTATCCAAGGCCAGGAGCCAGAAGCTTCCTGCAGGTCTCCCACACAGGTACAGGATCTCAAGGTTCTGAGTCTGCCTCTACTGCTTCCCAAGGCCATAAGCAAGGAGCTGGATTGGGAAGTGGAGCAGCTGGGAAACAAATCATATGGGATCCCTATGCCTGCAAGGCAGATTCAACCACATAAATTATGGCACCAAGCCCAAGAGTGTTCTTACGATCTTAAACATTGCTAATTCACAAGTCTGTTTAGGGAGAAATGAACAGGAAGAATTTTTAAACAGCAAAACAAGTAAATAAAGCAGTGTAGTACTGACACATGAACATCCCACGAAACAATGGGCTGACTGGAAAGCCTAGAGATTGAGATCTCTGAAAGAATCGAGGGTGATGAGGAGAATTCCAAGGACAGGCATCTGGAAAGGCCACCAAGATACTGCTCCTGATAGTGGCCATCTGGATGCCAGGGCTGAGGCCTAGCAGTCTAACGGGACTCCCAGCTGAGTTCCATTTCCAACTCCAGCTTCCTGGCAATGGTGTGAGGCAGCCCTGACACCCACGTGGAGCCACAGTTCCTAAACACTAGTTTCAGCCTGGTCCAGCATCTGTAATGGAGCAGCAGATGGGAGCTATCTGCGTCTCCAGTAAGCCGGACCAAGTGCACGCACAGCACCTGACCCCATCTGGAATGGCGCCCCACGCTGGGAAGGCTGGGTGTGAGTCCTAGTTCCTGCTGCTGACTGCGAAGGCAGCAGGAGCCACTCCAGTGGTTAGGGTCCCTGCCACACACTCCAAAAGACCCAAACCCAGTGCCTGGCTCCTGGGTTCAGACACCTGGGGAGTGAACCACCAAATGGCAGGAATCTCTCTGCCTCACAAACAAGCAAAATAAATGAGATTTTTTTTTTTTAAAAAAAAAAGGTCTACTTTGGGAAAAGATGTAACATAACAAACAAAAAAAATTAGTTCCTTTGGGCCAGCACTGTGGTGCAGGTTACACAGCAGCTTGTGACCGGAAAGCTGGTTCAAGTCCTGGCCACTTCACTTCCAATTTAGTTCCTTATAACACACTTGGGAAAGCAGCAGTGATGGCTGGGACTCCTGCCACTGACGTGGGGCACCTGAATGCAATTCCAGGCTCCTGGCTTCACTCAACACTTTCATGTTTTCATCACCTCCAAAAGAAATCCTGCGCCTCCTGGCAATCACTCTAGCAACTGGCTCCCAAACCCAAGAAGGCTGCAGGAGAGATGTAAGGTGGCCGGCGGCAGAAAGATAAAAAGAGCAAAGCACCTGCTTGGCGTGAGTAACTGTACATGACTGGGGCAATGAATTACAGGAAGCAATAGCTAGGGACACTTTTATAATGGGCACACCTCATACACCCAGCAATTCCACATCTAGTACAGCTCCACACCGACGTCCTTATGGAGGTACACTACGAAGTATCTGCAGGGCCCACTGCAGTAGCCTAGGGGCCAAGGTCCTCTCCTCGAACACACCAGGATTCCATATGGCTGCCAGTTCGTGTCCAAATACCCCGCTTCCCATCCAGCTCCCTGCTTGTGGCCTGGGAAAGCAGTCGAGGACGGCCCAAAGCCTTGGGACTCTGCACCTGCATGGGAGACCTGGAAGAGGCTCCAGGCTCCTGGCTTTGGATCTGTTCAGCTCCAGTTGCTACGGCCACCTGGGGAGTGAATCAGTGCAGGTAAGATCTGCCTCTCTGAATAAGTCTTTTTTTTTTTTTTAATAAGTCTTTAAAAAGAAAGAAAGAAATATCTACAAAGATATTGTCAATTTTTTTCTAAAATTTTATTCTTACAGTATAAATAGCCATCAAACATAAAGCAGCCATAGACACTGCAGAGCGAGTACCTACACAGGTAAAAGCAGCAGCCTGGCAAACACTGACGATACTCGTAACAGAAGCAGCACACAAGCCTGACTGGACAGCAAACCGGTGTTAAAACACATGTCTATGTGCTACCCATGGAAAGCCACTCCAGAGACCAGGGACCAAGAGAGCCTCTGGGGAGAGGAACAGGGCTGAGAGGAGGAGGGGTGGGGTGCAGAGAGTGTACTTGGCATAGGAAAAATTGTGTATCATACACACATTATTTACTCAGAGAGCTTTAAAATGAAAATAAAGAATGCTTCCTAAAGTGACCCTGAAACCACATCCTAATACTATTTTATGGCAGCAAAGAAATTTCACCTGTAGCTGATCTACTGTGGGTCTTAGCCACGGGATTCAGTTACTGAAACACCAGAAGGCCACTCATGTGGGAGCCAAGCCTGAGCCACACCAGGGCCAGGGCGCAGCCTGCATAGTGCTCCCAGGTGCCTGTGCCATCCCCGGGGAAGCCGTGGCAGGAGGGCACTCCCATCTCCAGGAAAGCATACACCATTGTGTCGGTTATACCACCTGTAACAATCACACAGTACTCTCACTCAAAGTCTTCCACTAAACCTCCACGTGCGGAAACTTTCAAGGATGTCCTAACTAGGCAAGAAAAGCCCCATGAACCTTCATGTTCCTATTTCAGCGAAAAGCGTTGCCATGGCAAATAAAACTGCTTTGATGCTGATTATGGGAGAGCATTTCTGATACAGATGCAGCATTTTCTGTGTCATAATGGGATAACACAATGTGAGCCACTTTCATAATGTTTCTGTCCCTTGAAGCAGACAGGGGCCATGTGGAGAGCTCGCATCCTTAAGTGGGTTGCCCAAACATCACAGACCACCTGAAAAACCAGGTTCTAAGGTCTGAGACCCACCTCCCAGATAACATTTCCTGTCCTCTCTTCCATTTAGGCCTGGGCTTAAATCTGTTCCCCCCACCTCCTTTTTTTTTAAGATTTATTGTTACTTGAAAGGTAGTTACAGAGACGGAAGGAGACAGAGACCCTCTACATATTCACTCCCCAAACGGCCACAACGGCCAGAGCTGAACCAGTTTGAAGCCAGGAGCTTGCTGTGGGTGCAAGGGCCCAAGGACTTCAGCCCTCTTCTGCTGCCCTCCCAAGCCACTGGTGTGGAGCTGAATGGGAAGTGGAGGCACACGGGAAGCTGGCACCACAGGCAGAGGCTTGGCATGCTGTATGCCATGACCAAGGCCAGGAGGTTCTTTTGAAGGCTCTCATGTGGGTGCCAGGACCCAAAGACTTGGGGGCCATCCTCTGCTGCTTCCCCAAACTGGAAGTGGAACAGCTGGGCCTCAAAGCAGTGCCCGAATGGGATGCTGGCTCTGCAGCTGGCTTGACGCAAGCCCCTGAAGTCTCATGGACTTTCTCCTCAGGCGGCAGGACTGGGAGAGAGAAAGCCTGTAGAACTGTTATCTTCCCTGGGGCTCAATGCTGCTCCACTGAAGGAAAGTCCCTCCTGCACAACAAAGAGCGGAACCGCACCTCTCCCCACTGGGTGCGGTGCTGCTCAAGGGCAGTGGTTTTTTTCGTTTTGTTTTTTACTAAGCTCAATGTCTCTGCCCATCATTGATGACCAAAAACCTGCTTGTTGAACAACAGACACTAAAACATAGCAAACCACACTGACCGTAACACAACTGTGTTCCTCTTATCACCTTGTCAAAAACAAAACAACTACAAAAGGTGCACATTTCTGACTTGGCCCAAAACTCCAAATACTGTGACATTGACATTTCCTCACAAGGAAACTAATTAAAGGGGATTTCAACATTCTGTTGAAGGAGATGGGCACTAGTGAAATACGTAAAGTGCTGGATTGGATTTCTGTTCTAGAGAACTCATTCAGACTCAGCAAGAAAACCCCATAAACTCTCAGGCTTTCTTTGTGTCAGATCACTGTTGTGTCCACTTTCCCCCTCCCCTCGCGAGTCCTTGGGTGGATCTTCACAACTCAGCTCAGGTTCAACTGCAGGTTTCCTGGCCTGACCTCCTCTACTCACGCTAATAATAACCCTCTTAGAGCTGGGCCCTCCTGCACAGCTGCTGGAAGGCGTCCATGGGCCTCTCTCAGCAGGCCAAGTTCCACCTGTTCCTACCTACTGGCTTTATAGCCTTGACACCACGCAGTGCCCAGAGGATTTCTGCACGGATCGACCCATCTGAGGGACCTTCTAGTCCTACACTGAAATAACCCACATCAGAATTACAGACTTCGAAGCAGGGCATTAGCACAGGAGAGCCAACGGAACTGTCTTTGAAGTCTGAAGCTATTATGAAAAACAGCTGTTTTTATAGTTGGCCAATAAATACAACTCTTTTTGGCATTTTGGGATTTTAAATTAGATTCTGAGTAATCTGGCTTGCTCAAAACTATCCTGGATTTCTTGAATATACTATTCAGCAGGCTTACTGAGAACTCTCGCAGTTTTCCCAGCGCACG